GGTAGATATAAGATATAAAAACCATTTTCGAAACGGAATACATATATATAAGTCAAAAGCCAAGATCAAAAGACAACACAAGACTCACCACTCACAAAGATAACACCGGGAACACATCCCAACCACAAAGGTTAGCCACACACAAGGATAAAGACTCACCCAACGGCAACACATGCCAAACAACACAAGCCTCCGTGACTACACACGTCACGAGAGAAGATCACACAACAACGGCTACACAAGCCCTCGTGACATCACCCATCACGAGTTGATATGTCTTCCTTATGCCCTGTTCCAACCTTATGGCTACCCCCAACCTTGTACCTTCAACCCAACCATTACCTCTAGAATCCCCTGTACAGCCAAGTCCAACCTTATTCCTCCGGGACCGTCGTCCCCCACCAACAGACCACCAACGAACCACCACCAATCACAGCAACACAAGCCCGGATAATACAATGTTATCCCCTAATCACGTGAACCTTTCTCGAAGGAACACAACTCCATAATCACGTCACGGCCACCACGAGGACCGCTGCAATACCTTGGTGACTAGCGTCCCATACCACTAATCGTGCAATCCAGGTAGAGCCACACACGCACCACCACTCACACGAATCAATCAACGGATTGCAAAGAAGGTATGGAACACACTCGATCAAGGAACGGGTCACAACCCAACGACAACAACGATGGATAACACAAGTTATCATCAACCAAACGGAAGGTACGAACAACACACACGCTAGCATTAAGACAACGAACTAGCATGCTTAACAACGGGGAAACTCAAGATAGTTCCGAGGAACACACAAGACACCTCTTGGTTCAACGAAACACAATGTTGAACACTTAGCACGAATTAAGACACCAAAGATCCTACATGGATACCTGCCATAAAGCTCTTGACCTACGAAACATCAAGAAGACACTCAAATAGTTCCACAAAAGAACATCGGGAAGCCAAAAGATCAAACACCAAGACAACCGAATCACGGGGAACAAATCCCGACATCGCCACAACTATGTACCCGTGGGTGGACCCACGGGTAGCGCCCCACCCGTGGTCCCGCCCGTGGGGACAATATCCCACGAGGCTGTACCCGCGGGTAGGCCGGCCGGTGGTGCCCCGCCCGCCGTTCCGCCCGCGGGAACGTCCCGATAGCACAACAAATCCCTTCGGGGATTTTCTCCTCCAAACACAAATTCAAGTCCAAAACACACCAAATCTCACCAAACACAACAAAATGACTTGAATCAAGGAACATGCCAAGCAATGGCACAAAGGAACCCTAAACACAAGCTCTAGATATGCAATATCACAAGATAAATGCATAAACACTCACATTTCATAGCATAATATTCTTTTTAATTTTATTGTGATGAAGATTGTATTTATGAGTTTAGACATTGGATGAATTAACAACTATCATATTCTTTTTAATTTTACTGTGGTGATGATGAAGATTATACAGATGAGTCATGAGTTTAGACATTGGACAAATTAACATGGATGTTAGTAAAGGATGTGGCAACACCTAACTTGCACAATTAATATCTAGATTAATTAGTCTTGCTGGTGTAATCGGAATTACTGATAAATGAGAATATATATTTTCTTTTGTAGTTTATATACTAATGTAGCTTACTATGATGTTTGTAATAACTTTTTATTTTAATACGGTGTATTAAAAATTTATTATTTTAACTAATTACTCATTTTAAATATCAAATCTTATTTAATTGATAGTATATTTTTGGAAATCAATAAAATAATAGTATGTTTTTTTTTTTCAATTGTAATATCGCAATGTTTCCTATATAGTTATCGCATAACAAAAATTTAAAATGAATAAAGGTTACATATCGTATTTACACATGAAACTTATTTATAGTAACAATTGTTAGTATTACAAAATTACTTCAACATAGAAATATTAAAAAAATTGTTATTGATAATTAACTAATTAATATGTATTAAAAAGAATCATTGACTAAGAAAAAATGGCATGAAAAGTAGATCAGTTTGAAAAGGAAATGATAATTAATACTTGATTAAAAATGACACATAATATATTACTGAAAAAAGTAGATCAATTTGAAAAGGAAATAATAATTAATACTTGATTAAAAATGGCACAGAATATATTACTGGAAATAATATATATATATATATATATGTGTGTGTATGTGTGTGTGTGTGTGTGTGTGTGTGTGTTATTATTAAAAATCATTGACTGAGAATAAAAATGGCATGCAAATTATAACAATTGAAAAAGGAAATAATAATTAATATTTGATTAAAATGGCATGGAATATATAAATTCTGAATATATCGGAAATTATATTAATAATTATAGTATAAATTAATTGATATGTATTAAAAAAAATATTTGACTGAGAAGAAAAATGACATGATAATTAGACCAATTGAAAAATGAAATGATTATTAATACTTGATTAAAAAATAAAAATGATTCCAAATTGACTCAAATGAAAAAGAAAATGGTCAGACCGTCCAAACAATAGTATAAGTAAACTGGAAAAAGAATTTGTTAATTGAAAAAATAATTGACTCAGATTGAAGATAGTACGAAATGTATAAATTATAGTATAATATTTTAAGAAGAAAAAAGGATCTTTATATTGACCACGTCAAAAAGGAAATGGATTAACTATAGTATATGTAAAATCGAAAAATTATATGTTATTAAAAATTTATTGGAAATATTAAAAAATTATTATTATTAATTAACTAATTAATATGTATTCAAAAAATTTATTGACGGAGAATAAAAAATGACATGCAAATTAGGTCAATTGAAAAAAGAAATGATAATTAATACTTGATTAAAAATGACACGGAAACCTTTTAAAAAATGGCACGAGATCTATAATTTCCAAATATATAATGAAAATTATATTTATAATTATAGTATAAATTAATTGATATGTATTAAAAAAAATATTTAATTGAGAATACAAATGGCATGAAAATTAGGCTAATTGGAAAAGGAAATTATTATTAATACTTGATTTAAAATTAAAAATAATTCCAAATTGACTCAAATGAAAAAAAAATTTGCAACTCCGCCCAAAGAATAGTATATATAAATTGAAAAAGAAATCTGTTAATTGAATAAATATTTGATTGAGATTAAAAATGACACGAAATATACAAATTATGGTATAATTTTTTTTTTAAAAAAAAATCTCCAAATTAGCAATGTCGGAAAGGAAACAAATTAACAATAGTATATCTAAATTGGAAAAGGGTATCTGTTATTAATAATTTACTGAAAATAAAAAAAAATTATATTAATAATTATCTAATTAATATGTATTAAAAAAGAATTATTGTCTGGTAATAAATATGACATGAAAATTAAGTCAATTGGAAAATGAAATGCTAATTAATACTTGATTAAAATGGATCAGAATATATTACTGGAAATAAAGAAATATGTTATTAATAAATAACTAACTAATATGTCTACATATAATTTATATATAGAATCATCCTATTTTTTTTTTTGAATGTTACTGATTCTATTACACTGTAGTATCTGTTCATATACTTTCTCAACTTACTGAAACACAAAGAACTAATAACACCTCCACTAAGGCTCGAACTCATAACCTTCCAAATGGAAGTCCAACCCGGGTACCATTAGACCACATAGTCCTAATAAAATATTATGGTAATTAATTAATTAGTTTATAAAATATATTCTGTGTGAAATTTAGTTGACTAAAATTTAATTAATTATAAAAATTATATATTCATATCCGTGTATATATAAGTAGTCTATATATATTTTCATAAATATTTCGTATGTGACTAATTAGTTATGAAAAGAATATTATGGTAATTAATTAATTAGTTTATAAAATTTATTCCGTGTGAAGTTTAATTGATAAAATTTTAATTAATTATAAAATTTATATATTTATGTAGTCCTTTTTGGTAAGAAAATGTCTAATAGAAATTAATTAAATATATAAATAAATGTAGTTTACGCTCTTACTATCATATGCTTAAATATTTTATATTTTTTTGCTCAAATAATTAATATTTTATATTATTTTAAAATTTGTTTATTATTAAAATTTTGAATTATTTAACATTTTGACTAGGAATTGACGGGAAATGGAGAATCCTGTCCTCGCCTAATTCTCCGCTAGGACGGGGATGAGGAATATTTTCAATTCCCCGTCGGGGACGGGGACGGGATGGGGATGGGAACGGGGTCGAGTGACGGGGACGGGGAGTATACTCCCCGCCCGCCTCGCCCCGTTGCCATCCCAGAATATGTACTTAAAAATGGAAAATGGTTACCAAATTCTAAGAATAAGTAACCATTATAATTGTGAGAATAATGGAAACAAATTTCGGTAATAAATGAGAAAATTCTTTTGAAATTTTGCGTAATTTTATAAGAAAATAATAATTTATTAATTATTATTTACAACAATCTATACTATTAATAAAATATAAATTATCCTCTTTAAATTTTCCACCCAAACTAATAAAAAATATTAATTAATTCATAAAAAAAATTAATAAAGCTTAATTGGTAACAAAATTTTATATGAAAATTAACTAATATCTAATGAATTGTTACCCCAAATTAAAGTCAATATGTACTTAAAAATGAAAAATAGTTAACAAATTTTGTGAATAATTAAACCATTATAATTGTGAGAATAATTAAAACAAATTCTGCGTAATAAATGGAAAAATTCCTTGAAAATATTGTACTACCATCATCATTCAACTCAGGGTGAAAAGAATTATACTACCATCATCATTCACATGCGGAGCTGGGTATATGATTCAAAACTATCAAGATGAAATAGAATATGCAGGCACATCGGTTATCCTCATCTGTTCATAACATTCACATGCAACCCAAAGTTGGACTGAGATTGAGTGGTATGTTGCACAACGTGGGCTTAAAGCAGAAGATAGACTCGCTATTGTTTGTCGCGTGTTTAAGATGAAACTTGATGCTATGATTGAAGATATCAAGACCGAAAAGCTGTTTGGCGACATATATGGAGGTATTTGATTATCATACATACTTTAATGTGCCTTAATTAAATTTAAATTTCATGTATAAAATTACTTTTTTTTTTTATTTTAATTTTCTGCACAGTTATCTACACAATTGAATTTAAAAAAAGATGACTCCCTCACGCGCACATATTGCTATTTGCCAAAAGAATGAATCGGGCACATTCCACACCGGAAGTTGATGCCTTGATTTCTACTGAGATTCCAGACCAAGATGCGGACAATAACTACAATGACGCAGTTAGTGAATTTATGTTGCATGGACCGTGTGGATAACTTCGGAAGAAATCGCCATGCATGGTAAATGGTAAATGTTCAAAGTATTTCCCCAAAAAATATGTTAGTCAGACGATTCTGGATAAAGATGGTTACCTAATCTACAGAAGGCGTGACAATGGACGCACAAAATAATATTGAAGTGTGGACCTGATCCAATTGCAACTATAGTTGAAAGCATCTTCCCAACCGTGAAGTATGGAATGCTAGAAGAGTCGCACCTAGAAGGACGAGCGATCCTCTCACCGACTTTAGATGTTGTTTATCAAATTAATCAGTATATGTGTGACATGAACACTGCAGAAGGTCAGACGTATTTAAACTGTGACTCTTTGTGTAAGGTAGAATCAGATAGATGGTGATAATCTCTCACAAGTACACACTCCTGAATTTTTAAATAGATTGAGATTGTCTAGACTTCCTAATCATTCATTGACAATAAAGGTTGGTGCACCTGTTATGTTAAACATAGACCACTCTCTTGGTCTTTGCAACGGTACACGCCTCATCGTTACAAGATTGGCAGATCTAGGGATGGCAACGGGGCGGGGCGGGGGCGGGGAGTATACTCCCCGTCCCCGTCCCCATGACCTCGTCCCCATCCCCGTCCCCGTCCCCGTCCCTGGCGGGGAATTGAAAATATTCCCCATCCCCGTCCCCGCGGGGAATTAGGCGGGGTCGGGGATTCCCCATTCCCCGTCAGCGCCTAGTCAAAATGTTTAATAATTTTAATTTTTAATAATAAAAAATATAAAATTTAAGTACTAGTTTCAAAAATTAAAATACTAACTATATATATATATATATATATATATATATATATATATAAATAAAGGACTAACAGTAGTATACTATATTTATATGTGTAATGAAGAATATATATGTATATAATTAATGTTGACACAGTGTATGTAAATTTGCAGTTTTGCACTGTACTACATAATAAGTATATATACAGGCAGTGTATTTTATATATATATAAAATTATTCGGGGACGGGGCGGGGCGGGGAGGGGTATCCCCGTCCCCGACGGGGAATCACACATATTCCCCGTCCCCGTCCTCGTTCCCCGAAAATTTTCCCCATCCCCGTCTCTTTCGGGGCGGGGATCGGGGATCCCCGTCGGGGACGGGGCACATTGCCATCCCTAGGCAGATCATATTATCGAAGCAAGAATAGTTAATGGAACGCAGCAAGGAAACAAAGTTCTTATACCACAAATGTCTCTCACCCCTTCTGATACGAGATTGTCATTCAAGTTCCAGTGTAAACAATTCCCATTGATGCTAGCATATGCAATGACTATCAACAAAAGTCAGGGTTAAACACTAACTCACGTTGGCTTATTGTTAAAAAAACAGTCTTTAATCACGGTCAATTGTACGTGACTTTTTCTCGAGTCACTCATCCTGATGGCCTTAAGGTTTTAGCTCTAGATGAGGATGGACAAACTTCTGTTAGTACTACTAATGTCGTCTACAAAGAGGTTTTCAACAATGTCTAATTCAAAACAGTTATATTATGTATACTTCTTGCACAAATATAACAAAATTGTTACATATCTACATATTACGTATATATTCCGTTACAAAAATTTCTATAGCTAAATTACTACACATAAAGATAATGAGACCAATTAATTCAATTCCGAAACATTCATACAAACCTTTCAACGTTAAAATTTGCACTATCGGATATGAAGCAAATTATAATTCATATATTATAACGAATACATTTCGTGCATTGCACGGGTGCAAATACTAGTATGTATAAATACATCTACCCACACGATTAATGCATTCATACTTGCTAATCTTGTTTCTATCAAAATGCATTCAAACTTTAGAGGGAAAATTTTGTGGCTAGATTCTGCTTTATTATGTATAATATAAAGAGAAGATAAAGATTTCTCCTCTTTATATATATGAAGTCAAATTAATTATAATTGAGGTTTAAATGAATATATACACAAATTATATTAAATATAAAACTTTACGAATAAATTTGAACACAATAAATTTTTTCTCATACTTCATTATGCTTTAATATATATAGAGATAGAGATAGACATAGAGATAGAGATAATAAAATATAATTTATAAAATATAAATGCACATAATAACTTCAAAAAAATATGTATAAATACATCTACCCACACAATTAATGCATTCATACTTGCTAATCTTATTTCTATCAAAAATGCATTCACACTTTGGAGGGAAAATTTTGTGGCTAGATTCTACTTTATTATATATAAAGAAGATAAAGATAAAGATAAAGATAAAGATAAAGATAAGGATCCATGGATCATCCATACATACACTACTTAAGAGTAAACTTGCAATCATCCAAAAAAAAAATTCTTTTACCAACAGGAACAGAGTCAGAAATTCAATTGAAAGGGAGGGAGGGGCGAAGAGGTAGGACGGATTCAGAGATTTTTTTCCAGTAAAAGCGAAACATTAAAATAAAAGAGATAATTTAAAAAAAAAATTACCTAAGATTTTTTTTATATAACCATTACCAAAGAACTATAGTTTAAATATTGTTGGATATATGTACGAAAAATAAAACACATCGAAACTTTACAAAAATATTCATAACAAAATATGAAACATAATTAATTTGATAAAATAATTTGAATAGAAAACACATTATTACACATGCCCTTGTATTTAACGACATTTAAATTGTATTGTTGATAGATGACCAAAAATGATCATGCTACAATAATACTAATACCAAATGAAGATGTTTTGAAAAAAAAAAAATTTCAAATAATTTCATTTTTTTTAGACTTATAGGTGTTAATTCATTATTAATTTTTTTAAACATTTAAAACAATTTAAATGACATTAATTACAAGGGCATTTTTATTTATTCAGTTCTAAGTGTTGCCATTTTCCCTATTTGGTCCTAGATTTATGTGTCTTTTTTTTTCAAAACATTCATGTTGCTCTTAGAATGTATGATCATTTTTGGACATCCGGATTCAACAATAAATATGTTTAAATGACATTAAAAGTGACGTAATTAACCACTCAAAATATATTTTGTAATACTAGCATTTTGTACGCGCGATGCGCGAAAACTTATGTCCAATATTAAAATATTTGTAAGTAACAAAATTTAAAAAATTAGTTAAAATTATGTTTTGCAATTTCTTAAACTGATGATACTTTTGACTTATCATGTATTTGAATAATATAGTGATCAAAAAAAAAATTATACTTTTATATAATAATAATTTACAAATAATACTAAGCTAACACTCACATATATGATATATTGATATGGATACACAAATAATATACATACATATTATATATATATATATATATATATATATATATATATATATATATATATATATATATATAATTTAACATTCATATATATATATAATTAAAATATAATTTATAATTAAATTAATTGTTATATGATCATTTTAATAAAATGATAATTAAAAATAAGAAAAAGATATGATAGATGTAGGTGTATGGTAAGATTGGTAGATATATTAAAAACTAACGGTGTTATAACAGTGTAAGGGTGATTTTGTCCAATGCAAATGAATGTACAACAATTAAAGAACAATGTATACATTTATTAGCATATAAAAAAGGGACAAAAATCAAGGACATAACTTGTATTGACACTTATTATGTTTTTAGATATTTTCAGAGTTCAATGCAAGTATCCAGGAGTATCACTGACGTTTCACGTGGATTCTGGTTCCAACCCCAACTATTTTGCATCTCTGATCGAATACGAAGGAGGCGAAGGAGTGGTGAGTAGCATAGAGCTGAAGCAAGCTTTGGACTCGGATTCATGGCTTCCCATGCAAGAGTCTTGGGGTGTAGTGTGGAAGCTTAACGACGCTTCTGGACTAAAGGCGCCATTCTCCCTCAAACTCATCGACGACTCCGGCAAGACTCTCGTCGCCAACAACGTCATTCCGGCCGGTTGGCAGCCCGGAAACACCTATCGATCTGCTGTCGGTAATTTTGTTTGATTATATATATACTTATTAAATAAAAATGATTATGTAGTATTGTCATTAGCTTGGCGATGGAATAATTTTTTTTTTAAAAAAAAAATTAAATCTTATGTATCCACTGTTGGTACCGTTGGTAGAAAACACAAATAATAATCAAAAAATAAAATTATTACACTACAAGAAATCTTTCATTTCCCGACGAAAATTTTAACTACGCTCTAGAAAACGTCGCTAAATATTACAATTTGTGACGTTATATTAAATAACGTCACTATATATTTTGGTAGAGAAAATAATTTTTATTTATAATATTTGCTGACGAAATACAATTTTTTCGTCAGTAAAAATATAAAATCAATGACGTTTTTTAATAAACGTCCCTAAATATTTTGTTTTAAAAATTAATTTTATCACAAAACGTCAGGAAAAATAAAAATATTTTGCGGGAACTTTTTAATATTTGGCGCCATAAAAAATACGCTCTTAAGAAATAAAACAAGAAAAATCTATCTAAAAATCAACTTCACATGTTTCTACACTAGCTTCGATTGCAGTATGCAGTACACAGCTTCCATTGCAACGCCACCATGATTTCCACTACAAGACCGCTGTTTCCAACTTCACATCCACCACCATTAGAAGGGACCCAAGCTTACAGAAAAAAATACCTTCGCCACACTCTACCTTCTCTTCTCAGATCCACCGCGAACCGTCACAGCCGCCGACTCTCTCATATCTGTCTTCTCCGCCGGCCGTCGGCGCCCCAGCCACGCTCCACCGCCATGCCCCTGTCTTCTCTAATATGTATTTTCTTCTTCTCTCAAGTTTTTTTTTCTTTTTTCAGATCTATAGTTTCTGTTTGCGAATTTTTATTTTCTATAGATGTTCTCATCGGCATCGGCATCAGCGGTGAGTTTCGGCTTCGGCTTTGACACCAGGTCAGTCGTTTTTTTTTTTTTTTAAATTCATACTAGGTTTTTTTTTTCAGATTTGAACATACTTGATGGGGAGGGATTCACAAGTTCACGAATGAGGTTGGAAGGCTTACCTGGATCTCCTTCTAATCCCATTCTTTGAGGTAATCAGGTCTCTATGCCTTCAGAAAGATGGTATAACTACATTTTTCAAGATTTAGATTATGTAGTATCATTTTTAAAGTTGGGGAGATGGTGAGTGGACTTTTGTTCCTAATGACTTTCTATTTTTGACTTTGTTAATTGACAAATGTGGTAGATGAGTACATGTAAGAAAAATTTCATGGGCTATGGTTTCTAGATACAGAATTTATATGAATCATCTGTAGGATCATATCATCAGGAGAAATTTGCCCATAATTAGGGAAGAAGTCAGCAAAGATGAAGCTTAGAGAAGAATTATGGTTGTGAGTCTGTGAATGAACCTTACAAGATTGAGATTTTGATAGTAAAAGTTGTGGTTATGATTTTATGTGAATCCCAAATTCCGGCTTCGGAGAAATTCTACTGCCCTTAGAGTGCCCTTTCTGCAACAGATTGTTCTGTGCTCTGTGCAATGTGCCTTGGCACTCTGCCATGAATATTTATTGACAATGTTGATGAAAATTACATACCAAACTGTGCAAGTGTAGCTTTAGCACCTTCCGGCGGCGGGTACGTTGTAATTGCTTATTTATTTTAATTTTCCTCATTTAAAGCCGTTTCTGATATTATCCGATGATCACTCTGATGTGGAGTGAAGTTACCTCTCCATCCAATCTGCATATGCATTTTGTGCGACGGAAACTGCTTTTTGGTTGTTAATAAAGGAATTGAGACATGGACCGATTCTTCAGATGTGAGAAGTTTTTTCCTTTTATTATTATTTTTTTTGGAAAATACCTAACAATTGGGGAGTTCGTATGCAGTTAGGCAGTTAGCGTTATACAATTCAACGTGTTCTAGATTGTTTTTAAGTTGTTCTTTTATTGTCTTAGTAAAGTTGGTATGCAGTAGTAGGGAGAGGGCTAAGTTTGAGAAGTCAGCAAGACAACAACTGTACTTTTCCAAATCCAAGGTTCAGTTAGAGTCATATTGATTCATGATTTTTCATCCCCAAATAGGTAGACATGACAAAATACCCTTTCCTTCGATTCGATATATTTTACCTTTTCTTAGTTGGATGTTGAGGATTGGTTACTTAGTTAACTTTAGCTTTTCTATTGTTTTAAACAAGCAAGCTTTGGAAGGATATGAGTAGATACTTTTTTGGTGGCTTATCAACCTATGCTACAGAGGAAAGTATTTCTGATAAAGAGTGGTACTTTTTGTTGTAAAGACAAGAGTAGATGGCACAGAGGGCATTGTATGTCGAAAGTCCCTTCAAATTTAATAAGTTTGTAAAATCTTTATATTGCAGTGTTGCTTTCCTGGTATGTTTTTAGTTGTAAAGATCAACTTCACTCAGTGTTACCTTCTTCAAGCCTTCAAGGTTGGCTGCTAAGTCCATATAGATGGGAATTTATGATGAATCCCAGATTTCTTAGTGGGAAACCAAGTGAAAAGCCTTTCTTGAGACTTCTAGTAGACTGAAAAGACAACGGCATGTCTCTTAGAATTGTATGAAAATAAGATACTCTGTAATATGGTAGTACCTAATCCTGATTACTACCATAAGATTACACTTGCTTTTGTTTCTTCAAAATCAGGAAATGTGTTGCGTAACCTATAAATTTTACTTACTTTTTAATCAAGTTGTGATGCATTATATGCTAATGAACTCACATCGGGTGTGCACATGCTCGTGTCTTTTTCTCTTTCCTAATTTCTTACTCTAATTTGATTTTACAATAATTGAATGCTATCTTTTCAGTATGCAATGCCTTGAGTCTTGCCTTTCTCTGGGTTCTTTTTTTGTAGCATCATTGCAGGTGTTGTGGGCGAACTCTGTGTGCTGAACACTTAGCAAATCAAATGGTATGTACTGCAGAATTATGTGTATGTTCTAATTTGTCTGGATGTAAATTTTCTCTGGTAGCTCATCTTTCTTCTTTTTTTGGTTCATTGTTTTCAGGCCTTACCACAGTTTGCTATTCATTCGCCCGTCAGAATTTGCGCTGATTGTTTTAATGATGCCCCTAGGTATATTTTCACAAGAATGCCCAGTAAAATATAATTTGAAGTATCAAATAGACTAGTATATCATGCTTTGCAATTTGATTGTGGATATTCTCCTAATCATTAGTTCTTTCTCTGGTCTTTCTTTTATGTGTCTACATTTTGCTTTTATTTGAAAATATTTTAAAAGCAGTACATGGCAATGAATTAAGTTTTGTAACTAGGAACAAGCTCCAACTATGCCATTAAAGGGGCAAAAGGGCCAAGTAGATTCACTGTGTTTGTTTTTTTCCTCAAGCATGGGAAATCATAATTTTGAATTCTGATCCAACGTTGCAATGATAGTTGTGGATAGGATCACAAGCACAAAGGCATATAAGGTCACAACTGCTTGAATGAACATGTGACATCTTCTAGAATGGTGTTGCTTAGCTAGTGGCTAAAGTATGCTTTGGAATTAGACTAAACAATACGTTAAGTGGATTGGGTCTTCTCTAAGTATGTGCTTGACTATGTCCTGTTCAATCTAGTTGTTGACAACAATACAACACAAGCATTCTACAGAGCGAATTTTTGTTTTTATTTTTATAGAAATGGCAAATGTGTTGCAGTTTCAGTTTCTAGGGTCCAGTTAGTGTGAATATGGAAGTTGTGGTTCATTTGGAAGTTGTGGTTCATTTGGAAGCTGTAAGAAAATTGGTTCGAGTTCGGGTTGTAGTTGCTTGAAAGATGTGTGAGGAGAATAGGATTGGAATGCAATGAAGATGACAGATTCAAGAGGCTTCAGTGGATGAAATGGCCTGGCCATCCAATTTCAATGGGAAATATGACATTTTCGGAATGGGAAACTCAGTGTTACAAGAACTCAAGGGGCATACCAACATTTGAAGATATAACGAAAGTTTAGAATTTTTTTTTATTGTTATATAAATTTTAGTTTCGTGGAGTGTACTACTAGAATGGAAATTGATTACATATTATGAAAAATATTCTTCTATTTTGAACATTTAATTGATGCTTAAATATTTTATTTTCAATTACATGAAACTGTTGTGTAAACAATTCTATTTACAAGTATATGTAAATTATCACCAATAAGGGTAAAAATATTGCAAATATCTCTAAATATAAAATTTTGCGATGAAAAATGAATACGGAAAAAACGTCAGTAAATGACTTTTACTAAACGTATAATAATGTACACAATCGTCAATAAATGTTATTTTATCGACGTATTTCATTTTTTGTCACCAAATATATTTATTAATGACGAGCATAATTGTATGGAAAACATCAGTAAAGACACATTTGCTGACGAAATGTTTTATTTCGTCACAAACTATTACCGACGTTTTTGTTAATATTTCGTTGCAAAAAGTATGTATTCAATGATATTATCAAGACCATGCGAAAACGTCAGTAATCGTAATATTTTGTGACGAAAAATTAACTTCGTCAGTAATACCTTTCCATACGTCGCTAACCCGACGGTCGTGGTGACGTTTTTATTTGGTCAGTAAAGACATTTGGCGACGTATTTTTATATTTACTGACGTTTAAAAATCGTCGCTAAATATTAAAATTCTTGTAGTGTTATTTTCTTGAAAGAAGGGAAGAAAAGATGAAGAAAAGTGGCTAGTGTTTGGTGTTGGGTTTTTGCAAGAGTCAAGTGAGCACTCTTCCCTTAAAACCTTATTTGCCACCTCCCAAAGATGCTAGGAGCGTTGTGGCCTAGGCTTCCCAGGATAAAACTTGCTAATGATTCAATGTTTGAGCACTCAAACAAGGAATCCGGCGAGCAAGACAATGGCTATGAACACAGTAGGCCAAGAAAGAGTAGAAGCAGAGAGGTTTTGAAGCTGAAAAAATGAACTTTCGTGTTCTATGTTTCTGTGTGTAAAACTCTACTGCATCTACCCTCTCTTATATAGGGTTGAAGGAGCC